AACAGCGGCACCGCCCCCTCCGCGTCAGCGCCCGCCCACGCCGCGTCCTCGGCACCGCGGCCGCCGAGACCTGCGCTTCGCTCCGAACATTCCACACGGAGCCCAAATGGTCTCGAGCTCCCAACATTCCTTTCCATGCACTCTTCTTTTCTAAGAGGCTTTAAAATTGTGCAAAAGATTTATTTCTGGAAAGAAACCAACTTTTATAGAGACTCTGAGGTACCGAAAGACTAAATAGGGCGTCTGTGCTGTAGCGAAAGTGCAACTGATGTTTGACAGCTGCATTTCCCACACAGCGTCCTCTCTCCCCACCGCCTGCACCGAAGCGGATGAAAACAAACACTAACGATGGCGGCGCCGGCGGGTGGCTGGTTGCTGGCTTAGGGCGGGAGACATCGCTTGACGCGTGAAGAAGAAGCTCTGAGGAAAACTAGTTGACATCGGCCCGACAGTCTGCTCAGTTCTTGGCGACAGGAGCCTCGTAAAGTGTGAGGTATCTCTCTACGACCTGTGCTGCCAATACCGCCCCGGAGCGCGGAACCCTCAGCCGGGAGGTGCGGTTGGCCCCGGCCTCCGGAATGAGAGCCCGGAGCCACTCTCTCTGCCGTAGCTTCCCAGGTACTCACTTTTGGGAATAATAACCTCCAGATGTTTCAGTGCCCCCGAGTGGGAGGTCACTGATCCTCTGGCGTCCTCTGGGCCACCTCCTTGTGGACGCCCAAGCCGACCAGTGTAGTGGAGGTTCAGCTCCTTAGCCCCCTCATTAAGTTTTCTACGGGAAGTTGGCTTGGTGTAGACCCTGTTGGTTCTTGAGAGATCCCAACCGTTACAGAAGTCCCCCTAAACTTCCTTGCTGCTTTCTTAGCTATTTGGGTTAAGTCAAGAAGGTCTGTTGGAGATAATTTATAGGGCCGTAAGAAGGGCTTGGATACCACGATGAGTAAGGTAAACCTTTTGATCATTCGATAAAAAAAAAAAAATGAGTGCCAAATGTGTGCTCCGCGTGTTGGTGAGGGTGACTGTTGACTAGTGAAAGAAAAAGGGGCCCAAAGTTCACGACAGTCTTCTTACTGGCAGTGGAACGACCTGTGGAAACCTGCGACCCAGTCTCATTAAATAACCCCTGGGTAAGTAAGAAACTCCGTGGGCTCATCACTGTCCCAGCTCAGTTTTCAGTTTTCCTTAGTCAGTCACTCAGCTCCCAGTTCATCTGCTCAATTCAATCTTAACATTTCTTTTGCCCCCTTTCTCGCCTATCACGTTGCTCTCTTCTGGGTTTCAGTTATGTTCCTGCCTCAGGCTCCTCAGTAACTGGGACTACCGACCTAGGTTGGGAGAGTTGAAACAGGGGCCAGCTACGTAGTCTAGGTTGACCTTGAATTACTACTCCTCCATCCTCAGAGTCAAATTCTGGGTTTATCAAACGTATGCCACCTTGTCTGGCTCTTGGAATTCTCTCTTATTTAATTAGGTGTGTATATGTCTGTGTGTGTATCTGTGTCTTAGTCTGCCTCCGCAGTGTTGGCATGCAGCATCATGGTCACCCAAACAGTACTTTTTATTTAGTTTTTGTTGCTATTGTTTTTGAGATTGGGTCTTTCTCTAACACAGGCTGGCCTTCACTTTAGAGCAGGGGGTGGCCTTGAACTTCTGAGCCTTTTACTCAGCCTCCTGAATACTGGGATTATAGACAGGAACCACCATACCTAACACTCAAGCCTGAGTTTAAATCTTTTAAAGGCTTGTAAGTCATTAAGTTATTCCAGATTGATTTTAAATACCTGTCTGTTTTTCCCCCGTGGAGTTGGTGTGAACCAGTTTGTTCAGGAAGTCTTCTGAAGGCCGGTGGGACTGCACAGGCAGTTTCTTCTACTGGTGTCCTTTAGTCACGAGAGAAGGGATAAGAGTGTGAGTCACCACTACTTAGGAAAACCACTCAGTGGCCATGTCCAATTGCTCATGAGTAAAAGTAGATGAAGCTGGGGATGGGGAAAAATTATAAAAGAATTAAAAGGAGTTAGAACAGAATTATGGTTTTAAAAATGCTGCTTCCACTTTGGTTCACATATACTTGAATAAAATGCAGAGGTAAAAGTCATTTTACAGTTTTTGTATTAGTATTGCCAGTAGCTCTTCAGTCATTTAAAGGTAATTTTTAAAAAAGATTTTTGTATTTATTATGTCTGCAACATTCCTCCCATGTGTGCCTGCACACCAGAAGAGGGCACCAGATCTCATTATAGATGGCTGTCAGCCACCGCGTGGTTGCTGGGAATTGAACTCATACCTCTGGAAGAGCTGTCAATGCTCTTTTAACCTCTGAGCCATCTCTCCAGCCCCAAAAGTAAGATTGGTTTTGTTTTGTTTTTGTTTTTGTTTTTTGTTTGTTTTGGAATTTTTGAGACAGGGTTTCTCTGTAGTTTTTGGAGCCTGTCCTGTAACTCACTCTGTAGACCAGATTGGCCTCGAACTCGCCTGCTGGATTAGAGGCATGCACCACCACCGCCAACCTCCTTTCTTTAAAGGTAATTTAAAATGGTATTAAGATTAGATAATTCAAGGCCAGGGGTAGTGTCCCAGGATTTAATTCCAGGCAGATCAATGAGTTCAAGGCCAACCTCCTCTGCTGAGTTAGTTTCAGGACTGCCAGAGATGTGTGTTGAGAATCTGTCTCAAAAAAAAAAATACTTTGTTTTAAATAACTTTAACTTATATTATTTTCATGTTTACCTTTTATCTATCTCTCTTTAGTGTGCTTGTGCACAAGTCTGTTTGTAGACTTGTGTTTTGTGAATAGGCATGTGGGACGGTTCTCTCCACCATGAGGGTTACAGGGTTCAAGCTCACATCACCAGGCCTGGTTGCAAACACCCTTACCCACTGAGCCATCTCACCATCCCTCTAGGAATTTTTTCTCCGTGTATTTTATCAATATGTTGTTTAGTGTGTAAACGTAAATGGCTGTTATATTTCTACAGATTATATCTAATTTTTCCAGCAGAAATTCTGATTGTGTGTGTGCATATACCTGTGCCTGCACTCATGCACAGGCTTGCATGAAGGCATCCAAATGTGCACTAAGGCATGCACTCCTGAAGTCAAAATCTGGTGTCTTCTATTACCGTCTTATATTTTGAAACAAAGTCTCTCAGCAAGCCTGCAGCTTGCTGCTTTAACCAGACTGACTGGCCAGGAAGCTTCCCACATTCCATCTTTGTCTGTCTACCCCAGTGATGGGTTAGAGAAGCTTTCTGTGTTGCCTGGCTGTTCACCTAGATCGCAGGATCCTCCAAAACCCATCATGGAGTCTGCACTCGTGTGTGAAGAAAGAGCCTTCATTCAGGCTTTAGCTTGAACTCCCTCTGTCCAGCGCAGCGGTTGAGAACAGAGAGTGCCCAGCCCAATTGGATAGGTTTTTTTTAATAGTAGTGGTTGGGGTGAGGCGATTTACAGGGTTCAGAACCCTGACTGACTGACATTTGTCTAGGGGTCTTGGCAAAAGGGGAATAGGTGAGTCCTGGGCTCAGGGACGTCCTGTAATCTTGGTAATCAATTTTTTAAATTGTTTTTATTGAGTTATATATTTTTCCCTGCTCTACTTCCTTCCTCTTCCTTCCCCTTCTGCTCTCTCCCATGGTTCCCATGCTCCCAATTCACTCAGGGGATCTTGTCTTTCTACTTCCCATGTAGATTAGATCCATGTATGGATCCTTTTTGTTATCTAGAATCTCTGGGATTGTGAACTATACGCTGATTTTTCTTGCTTTATGTCTAAAAGCCACTTATGAGTGAGTACATGTAATATTTGTCTTTCTGGTTCAGTGTTATATTGAGTGAATATGATGTTTTCTAGATCCATCCATCTGCTAGCAAATTTCAAGATGTCATTATTTTTTTCTGCTGTGTAATACTTCATTGTGTAAATGTACCACATTTTCCTTATCCATTCTTCAGTCAAGGGGCATTTAGGTGTTTCCAGGTTTTGGCTATGACAAACAGTGCTGCTCTGAACATAGTTGAGCACATGTCCTTGTGGTATGATTAAGCATCCTTTGGATATGTACCCAAAAGTGGTATCGTTGGGTCTTTATTTAGGAAGGTTGTTTCCTAATTTTCTGAGAAATCACCATACTGATATCCAAAGGGGTCGTACCAGCTTGCACTCCCACCAGCAATGCTGGAGTGTTCCCTTTACCCCACAACCTCTCCAGCATAAGTTGTCATCTGTGTTTTTGATCTTGGCCCTTCTTATAGTTGTAAGATGGAATCTCAGAGTTGTTTTGATTTGCATTTCTCTGATGGCTAAGGATGTTGAACATTTCCTTAAGTGACTTTCAGCCATTTTAGATTCCTCTGTTGAGCGTTCTCTGTTTAGGTCTGTATCCCATTTTTGGTTGGTGAAAATCTTTTTCTATTCTGTAGGCTGTCGTTTTGTCTTGCTGACTGTGTCCTTTGCCTTACAGAAGCTTCTCAGTTTCAGGAAGTTCCATTTATTGTTTCTCTCTGAGTCTCTGTGCTACTGGGGTTATATTTAGGAAGTGGTCTCCTATGCCAATGCGTTCAAGTGTACTTC